GTAGGGTTTAGAGGGTTCAGGGTTTAGAGGTTTTGGGGTTTATAGGGTTCAAGGTTAATAGGGTTTAGGTTTTATAGGGTTTAGGGTTTATAGAATTTAGAGGGTTTAGAGGGTTTAGAGGGTTTAGAGGGTTTAGAGGGTTTAGAGGGTTTTGGGGGTTCATGGAGAAGGCTAGCTAAGACTACAACTAGGGCAGCCAATACTTCTAGCGGGTAATAGCTCTCTTGTACTTACCCTAAACCATAGACCCTCAAGCAGCAGACTTTTTTGGGCTTCAGCTTCAGTTTGTTTACGTTTGGTTTTGTTGGGGTTCTTGAGCATGTAGCTGGGGTGCTGAGTACCTCTAACCTTGTTAAAACACCCCTCTCCCACCTTTCCGCCAGACTTTTGACTTCAATGTTTGGCAGACATGCTCGGGCCCCCCAGCCTAAACCCCATGACGCAAGAAGCCCTGCCTAGACTGGAGTAACCGCTACACCCTGAAATCCCGGACATGGACATGACTCATGATGGTATGCCCTAAACCCGAAACCCGAAACCCTAAACCCTAAACCCTAAACCCTGAACCGAAGCCCCACAAGCTGCACAGGGAGCCGGGCGTGGCTAGCGAAGCGTCAAAGTTGGTGCTGCTGCCAGAGGACCGTCAGTCCTTGCAGGGCTCGGGTTTAGGGGTTTAGGGTTTAGGGTTTAGGGTTTAGGTTTTAGGGTTTAGGTTTATAGGGTTTAGGATTTAGGGTTTAGGTTTATAGGGTTTAGGTTTAGGGTTTAGGTTTAGGGTCTAGGGTCTAGGGTTTAGGGTTTAGGGTTTAGGGTTTAGGGTTTAGGGTTAAGGTTTATAGGGTTTAGGATTTAGGGTTTAGGTTTATAGGGTTTAGGTTTAGGGTTTAGGTTTAGGGTCTAGGGTTTAGGGATTAGGGTTTAGGGTTTAGGGTTTAGGGTTTAGGTTTATAGGGTTTAGGATTTAGGGTTTAGGGTTTAGGGTTCAGGGTTCAGGGTTGCCCGCTCCACATAGCTCGAAGTATGACCCGACAAACCCTGCCGAGCCCTACTTGGTAATCCCTGGGCTGGGATGGAGGTTGCCTTAGCATTAGGGTTTAGGGTTTAGGGTTTAGGGATTAGGGTTTAGGGTTTAGGGTTTAGGGTGTCCACCCCCTACCCAGACCCCTGGGAGTATCCAAACAGTAGATCCCCTTAAGGTTTCCTAAAAGTGACCCATGAGTAGAAGGTACTTTTTGGAGGGTTCTACTTTTTGGATCCTCCCACAGGGGTCTGGGTAGAAGCCCAGTGGTGCCCTTTCCCTTGTTTCGTTCAAGGTTCCCTTATACAGCAACCAACTCGCAGAAGGGTGCCCCCGAGAGTAAGGGACCCCCAATATAGTGGCTTCGTACTCGAGTACTGTTATGCCGCAGGCACGTTTGTTTTGATATTGTTCTCCTTAAACCCTACACCCTAAACCCTAAACACTAAGCCCGAAAACCCTAAACCCTAAACCCTAAACTCTAAACCCTAAACCCTAAACCCTAGACCCTACCCTTCAATGGCGGCTTCGAGCTTCTGGCAGGCGGAGGAGGAGTTCGAGCTCGGTGGGCAGGCGCCCAAATCAGGGTTTAGGGTTTAGGGTTATGCTCCTGATGTGGCTGGCCCTTATACTCTGGGCGCTTTTAGGTTTAGGGTCTAGGGTTTAGGGTTTAGGGTTTAAGGGCTTAGGGCTTAAGGGTTTATAGTTGGGATGTTCCCCCTTATACTAGCAGCCCCTAATGGGCTTTTAGTAGGGGTACTATAGTCCCTATTAAGGACTGCTAGCGTAAGGGGGAACCTCCCTGCTTAGGCCCTTGGGATAATTATTTTAGATTTTCCCTTCTCGGGTTCGAGAGGATCATCCTCCTAATGTGGCTCTGAGCCTCGATACGACGTGACTATTTTTACTTAAGTACCTTTCGTACAATTAAGAATGTTCTTCCGGATAAGAGCAATTGGCAATATAGTGAGACTTCTTTTTTTTTTTTTTTGGGGGGGGGGGGGTTCTTCATGTAGCAGCTGTTCTCTCAACTCAAAGTAGCACATCTTGCACAAACTCGGGTATGGAGGTTCCTCTTCTGGCATGCGTAAGTTCTTCAAGCCTGCTGAGCCCTGTGGGCCCAACTTGATGAGTCACGAAGCTCTGGTACTCCACTCTGCCCTTCAGCAGCTACCCAAACCCAGACTCTCTAAGTCCACAGAAAACCCTTACAAAAGCCATATGTAGCTAATGGTACATTTCCTTTGACTTGAGGGTCTATAGGTTTCTCTAGAGGCACCCTGACCTATAAATACCTGAAGACCGCGAAAAAGAGGCGTTGGGCGAGGCTTGAGCTGCTTGTGTTTGTTTGGGGCCCGCGCATTTTACTTGTCAGGGGGCTCTTAGGGGGTCAATGGTTGCAGGGTCATTTGGGTGTACGGTTGAGGGTCTACTTGGAGGTCCCCTGAACCCTCAAGTGCTACTACTAGCATTACGAGGATTACTCGCATTACTAGTATTACTCGGAGTACTAGTATTCCTAGTATTCGAGTATCGCAGGGTGCTGCGGCGCTGATGTTCTTGCAGTTTCGGCGGTCCTCCCTCCTCTCCTCCTTTTCAGGGGTCGCTCCTTCAGGCGGCTCCAGCCTCTTCGACCGCCCTAGGCTTCTCCTTTTTGCATTTTGGCGTCGCCCTCAGAAGTAGGCGCCGGCTCAGAATTAATAGGCTTTCCTTCCCCAAAAAGGGAGCGAGCCCAGATCTCGAGCAACTACTAGTTTGACCAGCATTCCTAGTATTCCTAGTAGTACTAGTATAACTTGTCGTACTAGTATTGCTAGTATAACGAGTAGTACTAGCATTGCTATTGTTCCTAGTATTACTAGTAGTACTATAGTATCACTAGCATTCCTAGAACTACCAAAATTGCGAGGTGTAACTAGTACTAGTCGTATTACTTGTCTGACTAGTGCTAGTAGTACTAGTCTTCGTTGTCTTACTGTTATTGCGATTATGATTCTGTTCACTTCAAAGCCAGGCCCTGACCTACGGACTTCGAGTAGAGGCATCTGACCTCTGCAGGGGGGGGGGGGGGGGTTTAGGGTTTAGGGTTTAGGGTTTAGGGTTTAGGGTTTAGGGTTTAGGGTTTAGTGTTTAGGGTTTAGGGTTTAGGGTTTAGGGTTCAGGGTTCAGGGTTCAGGGTTCAGGGTTCAGGGTTTAGGGTTTCAGGGTTTAGGGCTATTTGGGGGGGGTAGGGTTTAAAGGGTCTAGGCTTGCTTGGGGGTGGGGGGGGGGGGGGCGGGCTGAGGTTCATAAGGGCCCATTGGATATCTGCATGCAGCGTTGCTTGTAACTTGGTACCGTTTAGTAAAGTCTAGCGGGGTGGGGCGCGGGTTGTAGAGGACTCCCAGACCATTCCACGGGACCATTTTACAGGGACAAGCGTTTCCGGACCTTCGGCCTTCGGTCGGCTGTCCGGACCGATCAAGACACAGTCCCTAAACCCTGAGCCCTAAACCTAAACCATGGAGGATGTGCTTATCAAATTTCTACACTCTTGAAACAGCGCAATTGCGTGGAAGACAGCATGATGTTGATGCCGAACGGGCCACATCACTTTAAGAGCAACGGCTACGTCGTGGTGTCGGAGGAAGCAAGCCAGCATTGCCATGACACGACGGCGCAAGCCGCGGAAACATGGCAGAACAAAACAACGTGGTAAGAGGTGGCTTGCAAATCATCAGGGTTGACAGGTTTGATTAGGGTTTTAGGGTTTGGGGTTTAGCCTAAACCCTAAACCCTAAACCCTAAACCCTAAACCCTAAACCCTAAACCCTAAACCCTAAACCCTAAACCCTAAACCTCCAACTGAACAATTTACACACGACTGGAGTGGCCACCGAAATCTCGAGCCCTTTGTTGCAGGAGGAGCCTGCCGAGATTGAGCCCGGCATCGCAGCATCTCGCCGAGAAATGGCTCGAGTTTAGGGTTTAGGGTCTAGGGTCTAGGGTTTAGGGTTTAGGGTACAGGGTTCAGGGTTTAGGGTTCAGGGTTCAGGGTTTAGGGTTTAGGGTTTAGGGTCTAGGGCCCCAGAGCTTGAATCGCTACCCGAGCCTGTCGACCACTAGCCGCTGCTCGAGGCTGCGCCCCCTTTACCCCCAAGGGGTCCAGAGGACATGTACCCGAAGGGCCCATGTACCTGAATAGGGAATACGTGGGCCCCTTACAGTACTTCCTATTTAGCTAAATAGGGAATACTTGGCGCCTTTAAAGTACTTCCTACTTAGGGACTTTGGGGCCCAAGTATATAAGACTAAGGTACGTGGACCCTTAGGGGTATAGAGGCAACAATCCCAGAAGGGGGCCAGGCAGCTTCAGGGAATTAGGGTTCAGGATACGTTGAGCCACAAACTCTGCCGTACTCCCAAGTAAACCCGAAACCCTAAACCCCAAACCCTAAACCCTGAACCTTAAACCTCGAACCTCATGTCAGCACCGAGGTCCGGATGCCGTTTGGGGCCGGCGAGGCCAGAAGTAGGGACCAGTGATAGCTAAGAGATGTATAAGATATAGGGTTTAGGGCTTAGGGTTTAGGGTTTCGGGTTTAGGGTTTAGGGACGAGTCTAGCAGGGCCCTGAGATTGCAACGTGCGAGGACTCGGAAGTGTAGGCCCCTCCCCGCCCTCCCTCTCTCCCCCTCTCCCCTCTCTTCCCCGCACGACGCCAGAACCTCAAAGGAAATAACAGTCAACACAGCTCTGCCCCTGCCCATGGGGTTTAGGGTTTAAGGTTTAGGGTACGTGAACCTGGCCTCCGTCGGCAGCTTCAGCAAGATCTTCTGAGTCGAGTCCAACTTGCATCTCTATTTCGATTCGCTGACTTTGCAACGTCTTCACCTGGAAGAGTATACCCCGCCAGACCATGTTCCTGTAAGAACAAGCAGTCCTTCATGATCCGAAGCAATCTGCTCCCAGAAAGGTTTGCAGATGCCTCTGGCTTTGGGGGAATGGCAGATCAACCGGCCCTCGCTGCACACTTGCAGCATGGCAAGCAGCTGTTGCAGGAGCTCCCCAAAGTGGCCCAGCACTCCGATCGAGTTCTTTCCGTTCTTGGGATGAACCCAGCAGCTTATAGCCTCTTACTAGCTGAGCGAGTACACTTTACACTTTAAAACAATTTTGGGATACGATAATCCCCTGTAGAACTGAAAGTGTACACTGTTTTTTTTTGGGGGGGGGGCTTATGAACTCAGCAACTGAAAGGCCTCCAGGGCACCAACTGCTATCTCATTGGCCAGGGGACGGAGCGGCTGCTGCTGGACACCGGCGAAGGTCGACCTGAGTTTCTGCAAAACCTCTTGCAGGTCTTGCGCCGAGAGGCCTGCAAGATCACCAATGTCGTCCTTACGCACTCCCATGTGGATCATATCGGGGGCCTGCCAGGCTTGCTACAAGCGTTTCCGGACCTCCTTCTTTGGCGATGTCGTCCGCCCAGTCAGGGTCTCTCTTTTGGTCGCTTGGGCACGGCTGAAGATGCCACAGATCCTACTCTGACCTTGGGCATGTGTGGAACCAACGTGAAGCTTCTGCAGGATGGCGACATCATCAGGACAAAGGGGGCTACCCTTAGAGCTCTTCACACCCCCGGACATGCCATTGATCATCTTTGCTTCTGGCTGGAGGAGGAACAGGCCCTCTTCACAGGAGATCATATCCTGGGCACGGGCACTGTGACTATATCCCCCTTGGGAATTTTTTTTATTTTTGTTTATATGTATATAAACCCAAGCGGATATTGAAGATAATATGTTTATGAAGGTTCTAAGGGGAGTTTAGGTGATTGTGGATGACTTGAATGCATATCTCTCCTCCTTGCAGCGGCTCAGCGACCTGAAGCCCTTCCGGATCTATCCGGGACATGGGCCCATGTTGGAGGGCCCAACGGCACTGAATCGACCGGGGGAGTACATTCAGCATCGGCAGCAGCGCCTGAAGAGGGCATTGGAGTTGCTGGAAAGCTCGGGGTCTCAAGCCTTGGAGCAGCTGCTGCGTGGAGTTTATGGCTCTTCGCTACCTTCGGATGCCTTCCTGCAACATGCTGCCCGGAGGAATCTGGAAGCATCGCTGGAAAAGCTGGAGACGGATGGTCTCGCCAGGAGGCTGGTTGGTAAATGGACATCTACGCGCAAGTTGCCAGCTTCCGGCTACGGCACAACATCCATCTCCTTGCGTGGCCTGCTGCAACGTGCACGCCCCAGATGGACTGAGAAGGATGTGGCGGCTGCAGAGGCTAAGCTACGAGCCAACATTTCAGACAGCAAGATGCTGCTAGATCAGCTCCAGCGGGATGAGTTGAACCAACATCTCCGAAGCGCAGGGTTCCGCGTTTTCACTGCCGATACGTTGGAGGCGTTGCGACAGGCGGGGCTGGGATCACTGGAGGCAAAACCCGAAAATGAGCGTTCTTGAGGCTTTATAAGGAGCCAGTTAGGAGTAATCAGTGAAGTCGACACACCTTCTGGGCTGTCGTCCGATCAACTGAGAGCCGGGCTGGAATGTGGGCGACCGCGGCTTACCGTTGCGCTGGCGCTGGACCGCACACTGCACCTGCAAGACCATGACGCATCTTGGAAGAGCTCACAATCATGAGTGGCGCAACGACATGCAATCAGCGCCACCTCTCCTGTTCAGTTCCGTCGCTGCAGGTGAAAGCACAGCACCTATAGTGCTTCTGGTTTGCCCGAGTGACGATAAGCCGTGTGCATGATTTTGCTCTGTGGCTTCAACAAAAATCCCCCCAAGGCCTCAAGCATCCATGTACCTATGCAGCATGTACTTCGGCTCTTGAGCTACTAATCATTTAGGAGCCCCTTTAAGGCCCAGGTGTATACCATGTATGCACGCGGATCTTTAGGGATCACTTCTGTTAGACTTTCCTAGAGACGCCAACATCCACCAACTCCGTAGTTTTGAATTTTGAGATTCCAGTGTGATTCAGGATTATTTAGGGTTGAGGGTTAATTCGCGTTTAGGGTTTAGGGTTTAGGGTTTAGGAGTATGCCCTGATTCAAGGCTAAGCCCTATAGACCTTAGACCCTGTTGACCTTAACATCCGATGAAGGAGCCCAAAAAGTTAAACCCTAAACCCTAAATCTGCACCAAAGGCCTTAGACCCCAATCCTAAACTTAAGAACTCCAAACCTACTTTTTGCACGTTGCCCAGGAAATCTAGAAGGGTTTTATCTTAGTTTCTACAAAAAAAGCATTGGTTTTGGGTTCTCAACTGTAAAACCCTAAACCCTAAACTCTCATCTCTCAACCCTAAACTCACTGCTACCATCGCCTCAACAAAGGTGATTTCCGGCTTTGAAGCGAAACTCAACATTGACATGATCCCCCTCATACTTCCAGTCCTTAATCGGGATTCCAATGGGGGTACTAGCCTAGTAGTGTGCAGAACCCTAAGAAACGTGCACAGCGCGGTTTTAGGAACCCTAACCCCCCCCCCCCCCCCCCCGCCCCCCCCCCCCCCCCCCGCCCCCCACAACCCATAACCCATAACCCTAAACCCTAAAACCCTCAACCCTACACGGCTTGTTGTTTACATCCCAAGCTCAACCCCAAAACCAGAGAGGCCGGCTCCGTGGCACCGTTAGCTTCGCCTGTCTTGGAGCGCCTGGGAGAACTACCAGCGCCTCGGGTTGAGGGCTTATAAGGTTTAGGGGGAACAGAAAGAGGGCGGGCTTTTGGTTGCTTTTTATCTTTGTTCGGGGGCGGGGGGGAGGGTGGAGGGGGGAAGTTAGGATAAAGGGCTTGTGAGTTCAGGATTTGTGTGGTTCGGGGTTGCCATGGGGATTTCGGATTGGCTTTGAGGACTTGAGGGTTTAGTGGTTTGTCAAGCTTGAGGATGTAGTCATGGTGTCAAGGAGTTAGGGATTGATTACGGGTTGAGGGTTTGGAGTTTCGGCCGCAGGGGTGTACTCATCAAGAAGTGATGCCTCCGCTATCTAGACGGCTACGTTGCAGGCTAAACCCTTAACCTTTGAGCCCAAACCCTGACCGCTTCACAACGGAGTTGCGCATCAACACGCATGGCGGAGTAAAGTCTGCGCATTGACATTTTTTGGTCGCCTCAAAAGCAGCCGTAGGGTCCTCGGCGGATTTCGAAAACTGTTCACTGTGAAGGGATAGACTTTCAACCTAAAGTTAAGCCCTTACACTTGGGGATGTTGCCCCTGATAGTAACAGTCCTTAAGAGGGAGAACAAGGGCCACTATAGTCCCAATCAAGGACTGGTAGAAACAGGGGGAACATCCCACCCTCACACCTTATAGAACCAACTGCCAGACTGAGCCAAGACCACCTCCATAAAGGTACCTGCAAGCCGCGGTCAGCTGCTGAACGGCACTTGGCGCTTGTTCTACATCCTTTCGAGGGTCTGGGGTCTACACAGCGCTCAGGGTTTTAGGGTTTATACTTCAGGTTCAGGGTTTAGGGTTTAGGGTTTAGGGTTTAGGGTTTAGGGTTTAGGGTTTAGGGTTTAGGGTTTAGGGTTTAGGGTTTAGGGGATGTTGACTTCAGGGTTTCTAGGGCTTAGACCCTAAGAGCCCTGGCAGCACAGCCCCAAAAGCCAAGAGCCCAAACTCCCAGACCGTTCCCAAGCAAACCCTCACGGTTTAGGGTTTAGGGTTTAGGGTTTAGGGTTTAGGGTTTAGGGTCTGAGTCTAACAAAACGGAAACATGCTAATCATTAGGGCGCATTCTTCTGTTTTGATGAAGAGTTTTCGAGGCAAGCCCCAGCAAAACCCCCAGAAACCTCCTGCACTCGAGGTACTTTACATACTGGTCATAAACCCTAAACCCTAAACCCTGAACCCTAAACCCTGAACCCTAGCGGTCTCTGAACTCGAGCCCTACTTCCAAGTGGCGAGCCGAGGTTCATCACCCAGACGCTGGCAGTGCTCTCAAGGCCTCCCCTGCGCGAGAACGGTAGGGTTTAGGGTTTAGGGTTTTTAGGGTTTAGGGTTAGGGTTTAGGGTTTAGGGTTTAAGGCTTAGGGTTTAGGGTTTAGGCTTTGGGGTTTAGGGATTGTCTTGGTAGCCCAGTGGTACCCTTCACCCTGTTTGTAGGCAAAAAAGAGTGTCTTCTTTTTTTGTATGCAGGATTCCTTGAATTAATAATAATTGCATATAAATATATATACATATACATATATATATATTATATGATGGGGTATTTGTTTTGGTGAGTGTACCCATAGGGTTCCATGTTTTCCTTAGTATCCCCTAGAAACCCCATACATTATCCCAAGAACCCAACGTACTAACCCTACTTCCTAAGTCAAAGCCCTGAACCCGCAACCCTAAACCCGAAACCCTAAACCCTAAACCCTAAACCCTAAACCCTATTGATTGGAGTCTCTGAGCCTGCTGCAGGATACGTCTCCTCAAGGTCTGCAGTGAGTGGCCGGGCGACTTGCAGGACCAGCTTACGTTTTCAGGGTTCAGGGTTTAGGGTCTAGGGTTAAGGGGTTTTAGGGTTTTAGGGTTTAAGGGTTTCTGGGTTTAAGGGTGTAAGGATTTAAGGGTTACCCCCTTATACTAACAGTCCTTTATAGGGATTAGAATAGGGGGGTACTATAATCCCTATTCAGGACTGGGGGGAAATTGTGATTTTTGCTTGGGTTCCAAGTTCAGCATAGGGTAGACATAAAGGAAAACCGTATCGCTTCCCGAATATGGTACATGGACGCTGCTTATTGTTTCGGGTTGCTGTTATCTCGTAATTTAGTGTCAGTTCAAGAGCCGTAACCGTAAATCCTAAACCTGTTCAAGTTGACATATAAATTGGCAACTCCACTACTGTACTTACGACATCCAAACTATCCAACGAAGCCCAAAAGCCCCAAGCTCTAAACCCTGAACTCCACACCCTAAACCCCAAACTGGAAAAGCCTAAGCCCTACACCCTAAACTTGGGATGTTCCCCCTTATGCTAACAGTCCTGAATAGGGACTATAATACGGGGTACTATAATTCCTAGTAAGGACTGTTCGAAAAAGGGGGAACATCCCAACCCTAAACCTTAAACTGGAGAAGCCTAAACCCTAAGCCCTGCACTTGTGGGATCGTAGTCGCAAAGCCCTGATGATCGCAGCTAAGCATGGCCACCCTAAACCCTAAATCCTAAACCCTAAGCCCTATAAGCCCTGAACCCTAACCCTAAACCCTAAACACTAAACCCTTTTCCGATGCCCCCAACGGGTGCCAGGATTTCGCGGCGGTCGCTCAGAGGTTTGCTGCCTTTCCAGGCGGCAGGCTCCGGGGCGATGGGGGTTTAGCGTTTAGGGTTTAGGGTTTAGGGTTCAGGGTTCAGGGTTCATGGTTTACGGTCTCTGGGCGGTAGGGTTTAGGGTTTTGGGGTTTTGGGGTGTTTAGGTTGCAGGGTTTCTTAGGGCTCAGGGTTGTGGGCTAGCAGTTTACCTGGACAAATCAGATAGATAAGGTGCTTTTTCATCATTATGTTTAAGTGTATCAAAATCGGACTTCCAAAAACACTCCTGGCGTCGTCCGAAGTGAGAAATCGCTCCGACTCACTCCGTGCGGAGAGCTTCTACATTTATAGAGTTCTCAAGGGAGTGAGTGGGGTTCAAGATGGGTAGGTACCTGGGAACCTTAGGGAAGCGTAGGGAAGCTTAGAGAGCCTTAGGAGTAGTGTGGAGTACTAGGGAACCTTGGGTTACATACCCCCCGTGAAGCCCCCTCCCTTAAGAACCTTGTAATGCCTCGGTCCCGCGCGCATGGTCGTCGCAAAGTGCCCGCTTTCGGGCTAGAGATCGTGCTGATGCGAGCAGCACCGGTGATGTGCTGTCGTCAGGGTCTGAACAGTCCTTAATAGGGGTTATGATAGGGGGTACTGTAAGCCCTATTAAGGACTGTTCGTATAATGGAGAACATCCCAATCTTACACTCTTTAAGTCTCCGGGCCTACGCTGGGTCCTTATGGGTGTTTCGTTAAAGTCAGCGGGGCTATGTTGTTATGCTATGCCAATGCTTTCCGTGTATTGCCTTGCTTCACTGATGAGTTGCACTTGCGTGTTCAAAGCCATACCATCAAGAATACATGCATACGCCATGTTCTTCATGCGCGTATGTATAGAAACATACTTCTAGCGGGACAAAATTCTTTTGTATGATTTCATACGAGTTTCCTTAGGAAACAGAAGCGATGCAGTGCATGCATCATTTAGTTCTCCCCGTGTGTGTGTGTCTATACGTAAATACATTCATTATATGTGTCTATATATATATATATATGTGTGTGTGTCTGTGTGTTGAGGTTGCTAATGGAACAGGTTTTAAACTCTATGGGCCGCAACCCCGTCATAACCTCTACATATCTCATCGGATCTTCATTGGCCCACAGGGCCCTCCCCAAATCAGCCCCTCGCGTATAGAGTGCCAATGTTT